ACGGTTTCGTTCCCCTCGGTTTGCCCCAGTAGGTCATACTGGTTTAATCTAGAGCTCTCCTCTTCTACCACCACAGAGTTGGATGCGTTCTTTGTCCAGGTGTACGTCACTTCTGTCGTTGTGTAAGCATCTGTAGGAATGATTTCAGTGGGGCCACAGTTAAAACTTTGCAGACGATTGTTTGAAATTTTAAAAACCAATCAGTACTCCATGCTGTTACTCACAGCTGCCGAATTTGAGAGGACAGGAGCGGAAGTCCATGGGGAAATCTTCAAGATGCATCGGACACTCAGCATGCACTGTCAACCTGTGATTTACATTCACAAACACAATATATATATATATATATATATATGCCTCCATGGCCTCCTAGTCTGCCTGCTCCGCCATGTCTTCCCTTGTTGAGCACAGTGGCACTGAGAACATTATATTTCACACACTTTAAGCTCTTTTATTTTCCAAATGTAATAGGATTAGTCCAATGAATCGTTTGGTTTGTAATGCTTACCGAACCGAAAGCCTCATACCGAACGGTTCAATTCGAATATGTATCTCGTTACACCCCTAATATATATATATATATATACACATATAATGATCACAAGGAATATTATTTAATCCTTTTTATTTATGCACCATAAAAATAGATTGTAAAGTAATGCCACACAAACCAATCTTTGAATCAGAGTTTTGAATTAATTCAGTGACACTGACAGTTGTGACACAACACAATTCACTGACACAACTCAATTGTGATATTTTTTTTTTCTCTTATCACTCTCATACTCATGAAACTTGTTTAGCTATTTAGAAAATTGAATGGCAAAATAAAAAGTGGCAACACTTTAGTTCCAGTTCTCACTATTAACTAGATGCTTATTAGCATGCATATTACTAGCATATTGTTGATTAGTACTTAAAAAGTACATATTTATGCCTTATTCTGCATGACCATATTTTAGATCCCTTAATCCAACCCCATACCTAAACCTAACTACATACTAACTATTTATAAGCAGCAAATTAGGAGTCTAGAGGCAAAAGTCATAGTTAATAGTTAGTTTATAGTGAGATAGTTAATAAGTTAATAGTAGTTCTATATTCTCAATAATATTTTGAATATTAAATAGATCAATAGTCCCCAATTACTAGTAGTCCTATAAATGCAATTTCATTTTCACATCCATTTCTCCTCTATTTCACTCTGTCTGCTGCATTCTCTTTAGAATAGAGAGTTTCACTCTTAGTCTTTCTCTCAGTTTGTCTCCTTTTTTATTTCCTGCGCTTCACGGCTGAGTCAGGCTCTCATTGATTTGGCAGTGGCGAGGAGCATTTGTGCTCATAGCAAGAGCTGTGAGCGAGACAGCGATTTAGAAGAAAAAAGAAAAAAGCAAAGGAAAATTGAGAGGGTACGTGTTGGAGAGTGTCATGATGTGTTCTGGAGCGGCATCAGGATGAACAGAAGCGAGAGCGAGTCATTATGAAAGCCGTGTTGTTTGAGGCTTGTGTACACGACACACGACAATATATCACAGATTCTGCTCTTCCCGTTTCATCTGCAGGTAATTAAGGAGATTGACGAGGATGTTCTCAGACTCTTGAATACGTAGATTGTAATGAGAACTGAGCTTCACTAAGAGAAAGTCACTGGTTTTAACAAAATTGGCTCCTACAAAAGTGAGTGTCACATTTCTGAAAAGAGATGACACATCTTAATTAGTGGCTAAATCAATACGGCCGCCTGTCATACTGTGGGAGCCGGTGAGGGATGAATTATTCTAATTCATGGGAGTACAAGGTGATTCAGGGATTTACATGAGGAATGACTCCATTTGCCACGCACAATATGAGCTAAATGGATCATTCACCAAAAAATATAAATTCTAATAACATTATGTGAGGAACAGATCAAAATTAAAGTCATTATTCACTGAAAATTCACTGGAGGGCAACATTTCTTCAGTTTGGGTAAAACTTGGATTATAGTCCACAAGATCATAGGCCAGATCCATTTTTTGACAGTGTGAACAGATGACCATAAATATGACCATAAATCTTTTCTCTCATCCTTTAAGGCTGATCTGACTGTTGGACTTAATTTTATGGTAATATTGGGGGTTTAAGGCAATTAATATTCAGTAATATTATCGGAAGAGAAAAAAAAAAACTTGAACAGAATTGAGCTGGATAATGAAAATATTATCATAATATTATAATATTATTATCATCATAAACATAGATTTGTTTCTTTTACAGAAAAAAAGTGTGTTTTGAGGATTACCAGATGCTACTTATTTATTTATTTATTTTTTGAAGTGAACTATCCCTTTAAAATTTGAAAGACAATATGACCATAAATCTTTATATTTTTACCGTCTGGGCCGATATTCGGGGTTTAAGTAAGGAATAATTGACGACAGGCCGTTGAATTATTAGAAAATAATGCACACCTGAGGTGGTGATGCCGTTACACCTCGGGTGTGCATTATTTTCTAATAATTCAACAGACCGCAGTCAATTATTCTGCTTATACACACCTCAAGACATTGTTCAGATGTTGTATTTCAAGACATTCGTCAAGTTTTTGTCTTGTGTGCGGGATTCATTTCTTGTGCGTCTCATCCCACGCCTCCGTTGCTAATTCCAAAATGTCATTTTAGACCTAGCAATAGAGGCTTGAGCCATTGATAGCGAACTACAACAGTTAATAATGAAGTTATTAGAGACAGAGAGAGAGAGAGAGAGATTAAGTGTGTGTGAATTACCCAAGTCTGTGTGTCTCTCAAGTGTTCGGGTGCAGCAGCTCTATTAATAGCGAAACTTTAAGTTCAACTGCGTCAAGAACAGTGCCGTTATTACCTCGCTTTTGAGAAATGCCATGTTGCTTTTAACTTGCTAAACTATATTACAGATAATATCATCAGAGCAGTGCTGACAACACGTTTCTGTGCGTGTGTATGTTTCCGTGTGTGTGAGTGTGTGTCTGTACTGTATGTGTGTGCGTTTGTAAGGGAGAGAGAGTGGGAGAAAGTATGTGCTTTCAGTACATAATAAAACATAATATTGTGCCAAAAACATGGAAATAATTTGTCATCTTAGCTTTATCCTATTGTTTACTATATTTATTTGCTTGGTCAGTGTCATTGTGGGTTTTGGTTCTTTTGCTGTTGTAGGCTGTAAGAACCTTTGAAATAACTGAAATTGTTTGGCGAAGTGATATGGACATGTAATGCAGTCAAAACCTGCCTTGAACTACTTTAACCATGCGTTTCCCTGAAAATAATTGCACACCTTATTTCGTCAACCAGTCATATTCAAGCATTCAACAGCCCTGTAGTATAAAAGACAATTAATATTCAGTAATATTACCGATTTAACTGCACTGACACTGATGAGAACAAAATTTCAACTTGAAACTTTAAAAGCACAGCACTTTCCAAATGATGTTATGTGTGGTATCTTTTGAAACTCTTGAGAAAGCTGAGAAACAGTACAAACAACACCTTGGTTACCTCATGGTGTACAGCAGGGTGCCGTCATCTTGAATCCGCAGCAGTTTGTTGGGCATGGTCATGTTGTGTGCGACAGATTTCTTCCCATTGTGAAAGAATGTGTCTGGAGTCCAGATCTTACTGGCCATCAGGTTGTTCAAACGCAGAATGTTCATCGGTCCCTCAAACTTCAACCGTTCATCCTTCCAGCTCTGCCTGAAAAAGACGTCGATGGTGTACTCCTGCAAAAAGATGAAACAAAACCACATTTTAGACTGTATGAGGTTCAATTGGACGACCTTATAAAAGTCTGGGTTTGTGTTCCTCCTCAAGCAAAGCCTGTAAATGCAATTCAAATTCAAGCATTTTCGTGCCTTCAAATGACCTGTAGTGTAACATTTTCTATCCGCTTATTTTTGCTCTGGTGGATAAACACAGTACGCCAACTGATTTGCAAGTGGAGTTTACTGCATTTGAGTATCAAGCGCTGTAGGGGAGAGTCAATCGCTCAAACCTTTAACTAGTGCTGAGGGTGATCAGATCCCACTCTCGGCTCCATAAGAGAGATTGTGCTGCCCAGAGATATCATTATGAAGCTCATATCGGCTGGTAGAACAGGGACAACTTTTAAAATGCTTAAAGAATGATTACAAGAGGGTTTTGGCTTTAGATTGGGAGGTAACAGAGTTCTAACTAACAGTTAAATTAACAGTGAACCTGCTGTGTGAAGTGACACAATCGCAGCCAAGTAAGACCTATTTCCGTAAAACTCTAAAGTGCTTTGTACTCAATCATTTCTATATGGTATTAGTATGTCATATGGATGCTTGCAATATTATAAGCAGTGCTGACAGTATCTGTTCCATGTGCGTATGTTGTTTGTGGTGGTTTATTTTTGTTTCAGTGTTTTGAAACATGTAATCAAAAACAAAATCATAAAAATGAACACATTTGATGTTTATTATTTTGATATGTGGAGTGGAATTTTGCACCAATAACATTTCACAGTGCATAGGGATACAGAACAACAGACTAATAGACTAAATTAAATCAGTTCTACATTGAAAGTACCAGACAAAGAGTTCTCTTTTAAAGCAGCTCGAGACTGAAGTGTCACACTGCAAGCAGTTATAGAGAAGCACTGCGACAGTAGTTTTATGACTGCTCAGACAGTGTCTGAACACTGCCGGGACTGTAGCCAGATTCCTCCTCCCGCTGCTGCAGATGCTGTTTTTGATGGATGTACAGCTCATTCTCTTGAATCTGGACATTTTGTCCAGTCAGCAATCTGCGATGTTTATGACCGTCTAATTTCAGTCAAGGGGTTTGTATTGTCCCGGCTGAGGAGGGTTTATATGAACATCCATTAACAAGTAGAGATGAACCATGAAACCCCACCACCACATTATCAAACATACACCCACCACACACATACATGCACACATGCACATAATCAGAGAGTAAGGGAAATAAAGAGAAGTAGGTGTTGAGGTCAGGAGTGTTCATGAGATTGCTTCACAGGTGCCGAGTATGCATTTATATTGGATTATTCATAGACACAATTTATGAGTGTGTGTGTGTAGGCTACTGTTCAAAAATTTGGGGTTGGTAAGAGTTTTTAACGTTTTTGAAAGAAACATTCTCTTATGCTCAACAAGGCTGCATTTATTTGATTTATTTGCATTTATTTTGAAAACACAGTAAAAAAAAAACCTATAATACTGTAAATATTATTGCAATTTTAAATAACAGTTTTCTATTTGAATATATTGAAATGTAATTCATTCCTGTGATGCAAAGCTGAATTTTCCTCATCATTACTCCAGTCTTCAGTGTCACATGATCCTTCAGAAATAATTCTAATATGCTGATTTGCTGCTCAAGAAACATTACTTATTATTATCAATGTTGAAAACAGTTGTGCTGCTTCATATTATTTATGGAAATTGTGATCATTTTTTTTAAGGATTATTTGATGAATAGAAAGTTCAAAAGAACAGCATTTATTTGAAATAGAAATCTTTTGTAACATACTTTCAATTTTGATCAATTTAATGGGTCCTGGCTGAATAAAAGTTTTCATTTCTTTTTTTTTCTTTTCTTTTTTCTTTTTATTCATTTATTTATTTTTAAAAACCTTAATGACCTTAAACATTTGAATGATAATGCATTGAATTCATAAGAAATGTAACAGTTCTGGTTCTTGAATTGCAGTGATTCCATTAATGATACTTTAAGTGCTTTTAAGGAAGCTACTGGTCCTCACTGTATGCTAAATAAAAATACAAAAACAATGCCATTTGTTACCAAAAAACAAAGTTTTCTTTGAAAATTCACTAGTCATGAAAGGTTGGGATGGGTGAGCAAGGGTGAGCAAACAATGAGCTAATCCATAAGTCTCATTAGTCCCACAACTAACAGCAGTTTTAGACTGAAAGCAGTGCTTGGACTGAAAACAATTCTACAACTGAGAGCAGTTCAAGAATAACAACAGTTGCAGGGAGAAAGCAGTTCATGACTCGAAACGTTTCTAGACTGAATGCAGGCCTAGAATAAAAGCACATATTAACTAAAATGAAAGCATTTTAGGAATAAAAGCAGTCTGACTCAAAACACTTCTAATTAAAAACCGTGAGCGACTTCTAGACTAGGAGTTCTAATGCAAAAGCAATTCTGGATTGCATATAGAAGCATCGTGACACAAGCCCGAAGTTTTATTACTGCTCAGACACCATCAGAACACTGCAGTGACTGTAGCCAGATTAATTAAAGATGTGTTGTCTACTTTGTATCGTCTTAGTAGAATTTATCATAGAGTGCACAGTCTCTTTCTCTTATCCCATTCAATCAAGACTCCAAACACACAGCACAGGTAAAATATTACTTTGCTGCAGTGCTACTGAATCTACCACTGCTGACCCCACCCTTCTCTTCCGTGGGGCGTGTCGACACAAGACTCGTGAATTGCTGCCTTGGACTCCATATATGGCTCGGAGGTGGTTTTATTCAAATAGCTAGCTATCTACGTAGAAACCGGCTGCAAATTGAAACAGCTCTCTGGATGACACAGTTTCAGACTTAGACAGCCCAAAACAAACGGGCTGCATTTTCTTTTCAGCTTTTCTGAGCTGGCAGACATGCCAAAATCATAACTAAATGCAAAAAAAAAAAAAAAAGCTAAACAAGTGAAAATTTCATCTGATGTCACCTTTAAGAGATTTAAACGTTGGTCTGTTTTGTTCAATTATTGGTTAATTATTGTGCTGTTAAGGGATTTAAATATCGGTTGGTTTTGTTCCGTTAAAAGATTTAAATGTCTTCAGTTTTGTTCTATTATGAGATTTAAATGTTGGTCACTTTTGCTCTATTTAGATATTTAAATGTCGATTATTATTCTGTTAAAAGATCTAAATATTGGTCGGTTTAGTTCTATTAAGAGGTTTAAATATCGGTTGGTTTTGTTCCATTAAAAGATTTAAATGTTGTTGGTTTTGTTTTATAGGCGATTTCAATGTTGGTCTTTTTTGAGATTTATATTGTTCGATTTTGTTCAAAGCAAACGTAAATTACTCTCAAAAAAGTATTAATGACAATATGATTGAATGTTGCATCTGAAAAGTCTGAAAGGACTTTAATGTCAAGAAAAACATTCTGACCCAGAATTTAAAAAAAAAATGGACTCCTAAACTTAAGTGTGGTGTGTCTGTGTGTGTGTGTGTGTGTAAGTGCAGAGGCAAAGCAGATATCAGTTGAGCTGAATCTCGGCTGTCCTCGTCTCACCCCAGCTGCATACGGAGACTCCTGGGGCTGTAGGGCAGTACAGGGGCCAAATAAATACTACTCCCTCTCTAACCTCCCTCTCCACTTTCCTTGTTGTGCTTCCATCTCACTTGCCTCCTATTCTATACCATCTGCTCCATGGCTCAGAGGCACACAGCATTAACAGACATGATGACCTTCTGTAGTGGTGTGTGTGTATGTGTGTGTGTGTGTGTGCGTCTGTCCATGTGTGTTTGTGCATCGAGGCTTTGTTTAGCCCAGATAAAGCAGCACCGGAGGCTCAGTTCAGACCGGGATTATCAGGATACAGAACCACCAGGTTCACCCTCATCCATCACAACCGGACATCTCACATGAGGATGATGTTGGTTTAAGATTCCCAGTGCTACCCACAAGTCATATCTGTCACCGCACCGGCTGACAGAAACTAATGATTATAAAGAGGAAGCGGCATGATGGAAAAAGAGAGATGCTGGATCCCATAGGAAAGAGAAACCATAAATTTACTGATTTTTATAAAGTAAATTTTAGAATAGCTCTCAGATTACTTCGTAGTATTATTTCAGGATGAACAATTACTGGACTGAATCATGTTCATATTAAGATCTCTGACTTCTGATGGCAGACTTTGGTAAACTGACAAATCTAAGCACAGTTTCAGACATTGTTGAGGTCTTTTTTTCCTCAGGAGAAACATAAGGGCATGAGACTTCAGCAACTGTCTCCATTTGATTTTCCTTCAGCTAGTTCCTAAAGCAATATTTCCTATTTTAATTTAGTTGAACTGGCCGTAAAATAACTAAAACTTAAACTGAAATGACAACGAATAAAAACGACATAGACATATATTAAAAAACAAAACAAAAACAATAACAAATAATAAAAAAAAAACGGAAAAAAAATAAAAATAAAATCAACGGAAAATAGAAAAATAAAAACGAATTCACAATATCAAAAAAAAAAGAAGTATTTATTTTTTACAGCATATGTCGTGTCATTTCTGTCTATTTCTATTTCTCAGAAGGAGTTTTACTGTAGGAGAAACATAATATAAACAATAATATTTTCCTCTGGGAATAGGCGATTTCCTGATGCTACCTGGAAAAAGTGTGATGCTCATTTGACAGTGCTCTGCCGAATCCTTCTGTGAATGCTATTTGTGTCACCTACAGTTTAAACAGAATTACCCTGGTACTGCTTCACATATTCTAATAAACCCTCACTAACTGATGTCAACCTGACGGCAAACATGCTACCACACAGCAGCCACATCTACCCAACCTCTTTAGCTCATTACCCACGAGGCTTTTCACTCAGCTGTTTACCTGAGTGTCACACGCTTCCCAGCAGGGTCAGCTCCAATGATGAGGGTTAGCATGGCCATAGGGCATTGAGACAGAGAGAGAGAGACAGGCCGTCATTGTAAACCCACAGTGCAGAAAACTAAATCCACAAGCTTTTG